TGCGCCGTGCATTTCTGTGCTGCAAAGAAGAAATGCATCCTGCAAAGGAAACTGCAAATTGGCGGGAGCTCTCTCCTCCACGTGGGTTCTCAATTGCAGCAGAACACTCTGCCGTGCAAAGGAGCTCTCATGTGGCCAGGAAATTCCATAGTGCCGAGGCACCAAAATCACTGGGTCGTGACAGTTATTTCTTCTTACCAGTATGGATAGGACAGCTTTCTTGTTTAAAGTAAATTTGATGCGCGGTACTTGGTTGACAGGCTTGATAATTAAGCTTACCTGTTCATAGTCAGGGTATGATGCACAGAATACCACTCCAAACTACCCTGATGGTATGCTTCTATACTGAAATGTATCCTTTCAGTTAGAGGAAAGATGTGGAAGTAGGTCAGTCTGTTCAGTCTTTCTCACAAATCAGGGTGGTAACTGGTGGCTTGCAGAAACAAGTCCCTCAGGAATTGGATAGAGACCATCATCCCACTTGGAACAGATGTTGGGGTGGCAATAAATTGCACTTTTTTAACAATCTGTGTTTATATTTAAGCAAAAAATGAAAACCTTAATTCTGGAAAAGTATTTTGTTTTAGGGACATAGCTACCTGCTTGCAGAGAAGCTAGACTTTTGTATAAAGTCCATAAAACGCTATGGAGACTTATCATAAATGGTGGATCAGGGAAACAACTACGTATTTAATCAGGCAGGTAGTAGGGGGTAGGTAGGGTGGCACCTTAGGGCCCCTCCACATGTGCAGGTAAAGCAGCAGTTGGATCTAATGGAGGGGTGGGCAATTATTTGGGCCTACAGGCCACATAGGGCATGTCCAGATGAGCCTGAACGTGCCTCTTGCAGCGTCTCAAACCCCTTTAAGACACTGCAAGAGGTATGTGCGGGAACAAAAAAATGTCATGTGTCATCCCCCCCCCGCTTCGCTGCAGATTTGCAGCAGGGGAGCAAAATTAGACCCCCGGATATCCAGGGGTCAAACAAAAACCTGGGGGAAAAAACCAGGTATGGGCATGGTCCCAGACTCTGCCCTGAGGCAACTGGAGGCCCAGTCCTCCAGAGGCGCTGTGGCAGAGTGCCAGGGCGTCCCTGTGATTGGCCCTTTCCCAGGGCCTGAAGCTGGGCAGGCAGTGGTGCAAGCTCCAGGGACCTGGACTCGGCTTTTGCCAGGTAAGCAGGGGGTTAGGGGGCTGGAGGAGGGGGGAGGGGACCTTCCCCAACTCCCTGTTCATTCCCCCACCCCCATTTGTTCTCCCCATCCCCTGTTTGTTCTCCCTGCTCCCAGTTCATTCCCCTGGCTCCCAGCTTGTTCCCCTAGCTCCCTGCTGGCTCTCTTAGCCCCCCCACGTTCACCGGCAGGAACAGAATGAGCAGGAGACTGGAGACGGCCCTGGAGACATTCCCCTGCTGTCTCCAGCTTCCTGCTCCTTCCCCTGCGGTCTCCAGGCCCTGCCCCCCCCACACACACACTTAGGGAACCTTGAGCTGTTATGATTCATAGATCCCTTTTTGAAAATGGGGACCACGTTGGCCCTTTTCCAGTCCTCCGGGACTTGGCCCGTGCGCCACGAGCTTTCAAATATTCCCGCCAGTGGCTCTG